CTGTTGCCGGCTGGCCTCTTCTTCCTTCTCGTGCCAGGAGGTCATGAACCTTTCAGCTCCCAGCAGCACCGACGCATGCCAGGGTACTCCCCCCTCCACCTTCGCGGCTTCCGTCCACTTTAAGATCGGGGCCGTGTCTTTCGGTACCGGGATTCCGAAACAACATGGATCGGTTTTCGTAGATCCGTGGTCGGCCCCGAATGCCTTCAGGTCGTCAAGCACACACTTCGGCCAGTTCTGTTCCTGTCCCCCCCTACGTCGCTTCTCCCCCCCCGCCAGCTCGCCGAGCATTAGTCGTTTCGGGAGTCGCCCGTCCGGCTGCCTTGCCAACGCACCCTCGAACAGTAGGCGTCGTTGTCGGATCGTGGCTTCAACGCTCTGACATTCGACCCTCTTCAGCGTCTGGGCGTAAGAGAGCTGCCGGTAGGTGTCTTTCTTGCGCTTGTACCCGATGACCCGGAGGAGCAGTCGGTGGTGTATCGACCGCAGCGTCTGATGGTGGCCGCTGGGTGGTGACCATGTCATGCAACCGTACAGCAGTGCCTCCATCGCCTCCGCCTACAGCAGGTGGATCTTGAGTCGGAATGGGATCTCCCGGGTGAGGTCGCCATGTTCGTTGACGAGGCCACCGAGGTACCGGGACTCGGTCGTCTGGGCGTATTTCTGTCCCGCGGCTTCGATAGTCAGAGGTGGAGGCGGGGGGGGCTGTGATGTTGTAGTCGGCTTGTCCTTCGCGCGTATCAGGAGCGTCTCCGTCTTCTTCTCCGACACCGTTAGCCCGGACTCCCCGAACACGTCAACGATGATGGTCATCATTCTCGCCAGTCCTCCTGCAGACCTCAACACGACGTCGGCATCATCGGCGTACAGCATCCCCCATGCTGCCCTCGGTACTCGATCAAGGGGTGTCTCCTCCCCCCTCCGGGCTTCCGTCTTCCCCTCCTCCAATCACACCAGGCTCCGCAGAACAGCATCATCCTCGCTGAACCGGATGACAACGACCTCGAGGACCTCGGCGAAGAAGATGTTGAACAGCAGTGGGGATAGCGCACATCCTTGTCGCACGTCCTGTGTCACGAAGAACCAGACCATTAGTTCTCCGTCGTCCATGCGCACCCATCGTGGAATTGGCGAATGACTTCGATCAGCTTCGCGGGAATCCCGGCCCTGGCCAGCACCTTCCATAGCATCTCTCGGTCCACCGAATCATATGCCTTGTTCAAGTCGACGAAGCACATGTAGATCGGTATTTTCTTTCTCCGCCCCAGCTCCTGGAGGCGGCGCGACAAACAGCATGTCGACGGTGGATCGCCCGGGCCGAAATCCGCACTGTTCCTCCGGGAGGATGTTGGCTTCGCAGAAGGCGCTTAGACGGTTGGTGATGATTTTGATGAGGACCTTGCCTACGTGAGAAAGTAGCGAAATCCCCCCATAGTTGTTACAGTTGGACCGGTCACCCTTCTTGTACTGCACCTTAATGGTTGCATCCTTCCACTCTCGGGGAATATCTCCTCCGTTCCACACCTTGACGAGGATGGTATGGAGGTGTCCCAGGACGAAGGGATCGTTGTCATCGATCTTGAGCAACTCGGCAGGGAGGGAGTCATGGCCGGATTCTTTCCAGTTCTTGAAGCATTTCGTTGCCCGTGCCACCTCCTTGAGTTCTGCCACATCTCCCAACCGTTGAGTGTCACGTGTCGCTGGCCGATGCGTCAGTCGTTCGATGATGTCTGGGTTCAGGGTGGGGGATTTGGTGTTAAGTACGGTGCTGAAGAATCTCGCCCACCGCTGGAGGATGTCGTCCCTGTTCCGGAGCAACACGCCGTTCTCATCCGCGACGAACCGCTGTCCCCCCGCTTGTCTCCCGCTGAGGCCCACTGATCTCTTGAGGTGTTGGTACAGTCCTCGCATGTCGCGATCTTTGTAGATTTCTTCGAGCTCAGTCACATATGCGCCCAGGTGGGCATAAATGCCCGTTTCGACTGCTGTAGCCACTCCCTAACACGCTGCTTTGAGAACCCTCTACGTCGCTGAGTTCCAGTTGCCTCTCATCGCCCGGCGCGCTTCCCGACGTTTGGTAAGGGCCTGCTCCAGCGCTGCTCGCGTCTCTGGGGTCTCACACCACTCCTGCGTGCGGCGTCTCCGCGGTTTCTCCTCCAGGGTCGTCTGCGCTGCGTCGAGGAGAGCATTGGTAAAGTCGGTCGCCAATTCCGCGGCGGTGGTTGTTCGCTCGTCCAGCCGTGTGTCGAGGTTGAGGAGGAACCGATAAGTCACCAACACCGTGCTGCTTCGAACTGCAATTCCCGTCGGTTGAATTGCTTCTGTTTCGGTTTAGTCCGGACTGAACAGTTGTGGGCAAGCCTGCCACCGAGGTTGACGGTGGCTACTACCATATTGTGGTCTGAGTCTGCTTTGACCGGGCGAACCGGCTGGGGGATGACGAGCACGTTAGATACTCGGCCGTGATGTGCCTGCCTTGTCAGG